ACTGGAACTTTTGAATCTATTATTCCCTGTATTTGTTCATGAAGTTGATTTTTAGCTGTTTCATCGAAATTAATAGACCGAATATATTCATTAATTGCATTCTTATAATCAACTGATTTCTCAAATTTTCTTTTATCTGATTCCTTAAATATAAGTTAAACCTCGTTGCTGATATAATGGTTTCTTAATTAAATCTTTGAATGCTTGAGATAAAGCACCTGATGCAATTCTTGCTACTATAATTGGTTGAAATTGCTGTTTAAGTTCATCTTTAACATTTGCGAAAACTGGATCGAATAAAGCAACTTTAAAGAATTTCTTAGCTGAAATTTCGGGTCTAATATTTGCATATTGACCATTAAACTGGTTAGAATATCGTGGTAATCCATCCGGTCCCTCTTCAATAGCATTTAATTCTTCATTGAAATAAGAATATGGATTATGACGGTATGAATTAATTGGACCATTTTTACCTTCTCCAATGTATTGTTTAACAGCTTTTCCATTTTCATCAAATTGCATAGGATAACGTTCATTATATGCTTTACGTTTAGGATAATCAGATATAGTTTATTTATAACCATTTATGACTTTAATATTACCTTGACCATCAGTAACGAAAACTTCATTTACATCAGGTTTTTCCATTTGGACCCGTAATGTCTGCTTCGTGTGCTTCCCAATTGGACCATGACGTTTGGCATATGCTTGAGCTTCTGGTAATGTTAAAACGTTTCTCATTTGTTTAACATCTTTTTGAAGACCAGCAACAATATGAACTAATTCTTTCATTCCATCAGGAACTTTCATAGTTCTATTATATGCACCTTTTTGTTTTGTCCCTTGTTTTAATGGAACCTGTAGAAGATTTGCCATTTCTGTATGTTTAATTATAAATAAAAATAAAAATTAATTATAAAAAGTTAATCAAATTTCACTTCCTTTTTTAAATCAACTATTATTTTCCGTTCACCTAATTGCTGATATTGTGTGTAAAGTTCATTAATGCTCATTGGTAAATTCACTTGATAAAGCATAACGTTCAACTGTTGACGACTAAACCCGCTGAAAATGAAAAGTGTTGATAGATTTGATTTAATGTTTGTGCTTAATGCTTTGAAATATTGAACAGCCATAAAGAATGAACATTGAATGTGTCGACATTGAGTTAATAACTGATTAAAATATGATTTCTCATTTGTTATTAGTTTTGATTTCACTGCATCATCTAGAAAAATGAGTGAATGCAAAAATTCTTTATCAAAATTTGAAATGGAAAGTGTTTCAAATAATTCATCCCGTTGTTTATCAATAATTTTATCCTCTAATCCTTGCTTCTTGATTGTATTATATAATTCTTTATACATTAAAAAGTTTTTTAAATAATCTTCTGCTTCTTCTTGTGATAAATAAATAATTGGAATTTTGATTAAATGCTTTAAAGATTCAAATGTATCATCTGAAGGTGAACCTGAACGGTTGATATAAATTAACACATGTGAATAGGGGGAAGTGTTAGCAATAATGATAATTTGTTTTAATATCGTTAATGTTTTACCTTTATTCTGTTTACCAATTGCTGCAGTGATTGAATTTAAGTAACATTCAGAATATGGAATTTTCATCAATTTTTCCTTAGATAGAGCATTTCTATTATCATTCAATGCTTCATTAATCATATCATCTACGTATGTATTATATACTCCCGCTAATTCTTCATAAGGGGTGGATGAATTTAAATCCATTTAATCAAAAATAAATTTATAATTTTAAACATTTCTATTCATCAATATTTCATCATATGAACTTCTATACTGTGGTGGTGTACCTGTTGGATGATATTTCAAACCTTCATCCGGTGTCCATGTCCAATATGTAGTCCTAGTAAACCAAACCTGAGGAGGATTTGTCACCTTTGAACAGTAAGTGTCATTTTCACCCTGAATGATTGGATAAGCTTTCACTTGTACTGTAACTTGTGAGTTAAAAGTTTCTAATCCATCAAAGAATATACCCGCTCCATCACGTTGAACTGGAATAGTGCATAAGAATGAAGTTTGGTCTTTCCATGTTCTAGCTAATGGCGCGCCATCATCTCCATTCAGTGGTCTAGTTAATGAGTCCTCGTATTCTTCCGTGCATTCATTCACTCCATCTAAATCAGAAGCTTGAAGCATACGTGTAAAGAATATGTCGCCCACTGTTGCCATCGCTTGATCGGGGAAGTTTCTGGAATCTATAGTGACCTGAAGACCTCGAAGCATTGGATTTTCTAAAACTGTTCTTTGCATTGCATTTTTCGGAAATGTTAACACAACATCTGTAACATTATGAAGAGCGTATGAGAAATCTGAGCTAATACCTTCAGGAGTGATGCAACCTCCATTTAGTGAACGAACGTCAATATGTTGAGCTGGAATCATGAATGGATCTTCCTTACTAAATAAACGTGGTATTGCTTTAACTGATTCTTCAATTAAACCGTATCCTGGTGTAATACATTTATCCTCTAAAACTTCCATCTTTGTGCATGAAATAATAACATCATCAACTGTTGCGTCAGCAGATGTAGCGGCTAAGCTTGTAATTAATTTGGCAGGAAGTCCGATTTGTTGGAATTTGCGATCATATTTATAAACATGATTCATAATCTTTTCATAATTTTCATCAGTTATCTTTTCATAAACGTAATTTTGTAAATCAGCAACTCTTAACGGTCAACCTGACAAAATACTAAAGTATCCCTGAAAACATAATATTTAAGAATGATATCACCAAATGATTTAGGATAATCATCGAACGCCTGAAATGCTAACAAATCATTTACCGGAATAATCATATCAAAAGTGACATCAACTTCTTCATTTGCTTTCTTGAAAATTTCAGAAGGGTCAATATATTTACCACATACTGAGTTATCATATTTTTGAACATTATTATATAACGAATGAACAAACTTTTTAACTTTCCTTTCTGATTTTGGTTTATATGTTGCAAATGCGAAAGATTCACGGGCGCAATCCATCTGAAGATAACCGGCATCACCTCTTTCGGTTTCTACTTCTAATTGTTTAAAGCTTTGATTTGATGATTTGTAACCAACGAATAAACGCATGCATTTAAAAGCGGCATCACATGTGAAAGCTTTATTTGAAACTAGAGTTGCTTAACTTTGCGTTTAATATATGTGTCAACCTAATTGGTTCACATCATGAGCTGGATTTGTAATTCTTAAATGAGTTTGTTTATCATCAAAATATGGGAGCATCAGAGTCATAGCATGAACTTTTCAAGTTCTCTATAATATCTTCTACCGTCATTCTTTGCGAATATTTCATTTATCTTTTCGAATGAATGAAACACATTTCCATTAATCGGTTGGTTTGGCACTAAATAGTTAGTCGTCATTTATTAATAAATAAAAAAATTAAAATTAAAAGATGGAAATGAATTTTTAATGAATGACAATATCTAAACAGGTATATTTAAGAAACTGTGGGATAGAGTAAAAAGAGGAGCGAGTAAAGTTTGGGAAACATTGAAGAAGGGTGCAAATTGGATATTTAAGAATAAAGAAGCAATTAGTGACATTGCTGAATCAATAACACCAAAAGCTGCCCCAATAAGAGAAGTTTTAAATAAAGGAGAAAAAGTTTATCAAAGACTACAACCAATACTGAGATAAAAATAATATTTATTTATTTTTCCACTATCTACCCCCTATTTTATTAAGTATTCCTTCAGCAATTCCACCAACTGCGTTACCTGCTTGTGCTCCCATCGCTGGATTACCTGCTTTAGTACCTAATACTCCACCTATGATAGTTCCTGCCGTTTTCGCTACTGGTGCCAAAGAGTTTGCAACAGGTTTAATAACCTTTTTATAAACCCAACCTGCAGCTTTCTTAATTCCATCCCATAATTTTTTAAAGAATCCTGCCGCCATTTCTGATTTAATATTAATTAAAAAATATATTTCATCACTTATATTCTAATTTTTATTTAATGATAAATGAAACCAATGTTAAAAATAAATGAAACAGAGGAAGAAATAAGTGAAAATGTTCAACAAAAAATAAACGTTGTTAAACCAATTACTGAAATAAAAATTTTTTCATCTGTTGAAGAATTTAATGACTATTATGCTAATAATAAAAAATTATTTGAAGAATTGACAACATGTAAATTGAATAAAATGTTTAAAGTTGATGGATTCAAAATTTCAAAAATAAAAGGAGTGGTTAGTTTGAAATCTATTCCCCAATCAAGAATCACCTCATTAATGAAAATTGATGATTTAACAAAAAGAATAGAAGAGATTGAAGAAAGAATGAATCAAATAATTGATTTCATAAATTCAAATAATCATTAGTTTCTAATTTCTTTTTACTCATTTATGACTTCATTCAGGATTTAAACATTGGTTTCATTTATCACGGATTAGCTGACATCATCTATATATAACTTCTTTTATTTCATTATGTATGGGTTGAGTGTAAATGTCTTACAATTTGTATCATTTTTAAATCTTGATTTATTCAAAAACGTAAGAATAAAAACCGTAAGAATCATACATTTTTTACTTCATATGTTAAAAAAAATGATACAAAATCGTTCTATATTGTATGAATTCTTACGTTTACAAAAAAGGTCACACAACCCGCTATATATACTACTGATTAAATTAATTATTTCTTATATGGACAAGATGAAGGTTAAAGTTTCTCTAGACCTATAATAAAACCATGCAAGTGGATTGAGAAGAGATGATAAAAGAACAATATTACTTATAAAAATTTCTCAACCAAAGAGGAATTTCAGATGTGTGAACTCTGTAACTCCTTCCAAATGTCGCATATTTTCTAATCCTAACATGTTTTTGCCATACTTTAGGAAATTTTGTTCATGAGATCTATAATTGATATGAAACAAGATAATATAATGTCATTGTATGATTAATCTAAAGGTAGATAACTTATAAAGAAACATTTCTTTTTTTTATGGAAACTTCGATTCCTTATCAAGAAATCGAACTCTTTAAAAAAGAAGGAATTTGCTCAGTTAAATCTTATTTTGATTCAAATTATATTGCATTTCTCACCAAGGATGATATATTTATCCATGATTCATCATTAATTGACTTTCCATTTGTGTCAAATTACCAGCGTGATGAAGAATCTATTCAAAAATATGGACAAAATCATTGGATTCAATGGATTGATAAGGAAAATATTGCATATGGAACATGTGCAGGAACAATTTTCCATCAAAAAATCGATTCTGAAGGCCAATTTCTTGAACCAACAGTAATTTCTATCGAAAAAATCATAGTATCAACATTTATTGCTAAAAATTTACTCGGAATCTGTACATCTACTTCCGAAATATTTTTATATGATCCACAAAGAAAAATTAAGCAAAAAATTCAGTTACCACCCGAAATAGGTGCCATCAAGAACCCCATGTTTCAAGAACCGTATACTCTTTACGGACTTGCAAATAATAGACCGATTAATTTTCAAATTAAACCAGAAATAATACAAGGAAAAGCTCCATTACAAGTTACAAGTATCAATTGTCCAAATATTTCTGAAATTTGCTATCATCAAAACTCAACATTCGCTGGATGCATAAAAAACGACAATTCAGTTCATATCGCGCTCAAAGGATACGAAGAGAACTCGACAGTCATACTTAAAGTCGAAGATTCCAAGTCAGAAATCATTGGCCACACATTTTTAAATAATGGAACTTCATATGCTACTTTTCATCGAAATGGATTATTACGCATATGGAATTCCATTACAGGATCAATAAATAACATTACTATCAACTCAATTAAAGATTGTACGTCATTTTGTCTTGATAAAACAAATCAACAGCTAATTCTAGTCTCAAATGAAGGAGTTAAGTCAATACAGTTCATAACATTCAAATGCGAATACGGATTTACTCCCAGAGCTGTTTTTAACATATTTTCCAACGAAAAAATTTTTGATATCTCAAGTGATGACACAGCTAAGCTATTTTTCCCATTGAGTAATGCCGTAGTATACAAAGACGTCCTTCTTTTATGCAATAAAAAAGGTTTTGCCACGTATAGAAAAAATGAATTGTCAGAAGTCGTTCAAATGGAAGTTTTGCACTCAACAATCATCATGGACACGATTGTTATTGTCTCCTACAGCAAAGACATGTACGGATATTACGTTGCATTTTTTGATTTTCATTGTAATGAGCTTGGCTGGTTCCCTTTATCTCATGCAGCCTTAACAATGCATGTATGTAATAATAAGATCGTTCTCTCCGCGAACACGAAGTTCTCTGTCATTAAATTGTCCAATGAACCCATTGATACGAAATTCATCACCAGAAAAGATGAAAAAATCTACATAAACATTAAAACAACGAACGTAACAAACCAGATACAAGATGCTCTGGCAACAAAGAGATCGAAGGCCGTTGTTTTTAATGTAGACGGATCAGTAATAATCCAAACAACTAAAGAACAATTAGCAACAAGATGTTCTAGAATTTGGTTCGTGACAAAAAGTGACATGTTGGTCATTCAAAAACCATGTCAATATATTGTTATGTTTAATGGATCGTTGTTTCCGTTTAATGGATCTGTTTTATTCTCAGATGGCTATTGTTTTTATAACTTTTTGCCTGATATTCAATTTGGAAAAATTATTTTGAGGAAAGAGGTTGTTATACCACATTTGTTGATGCCATCAGTTGATAGTGATGAAAACTTTGAAATGGCGCTTGAACATTTCGATGGTTGTCCAGATTTATCAACATTTTTGGCTGATACTTTATTATATTCAGACCAAGTCAAGAAATTCTCATTAACACTTAAGAGATTCTGTAATTTAGGAGACAAACTATTACAATCTCAGATTTTTTCAAAATGTTTATCCAAATTTGAAAATTCTCAATTAGATGAGTTTATGATGACAATAGATGTATTCGCTGTATTCAAGAATCTATCCCAACCAGCTCAAATAGTTATTCTTAATAAATCAAATCCGAAATTGTTTTGTGAGCTTGTAAAACAAGGAATTGGCTACTTCCAAAAGCCACATGAAGATTTCCTAGCTCCTGTTGTAAATATGCTTCAAAAATATGAAGTTAGCAAAGCAATTAGGTTAATTGAACTATTTGACCTAGATATTCCAAAGATTTGTGAACAGGTGAACTTCCCTGCCATCAAACTTGAATCTATGCTGAAATATGTTTATTTGGATGTTAATTCTTTTTCAGAATATTCTCTTCCTTCTGTTGTTAATTTCATTTGCGCTTCCCTTATAGGAGTTAATAAACAGAACTTTGCGCTATCAATTCTCTTGTCAACTGGCAATTTTAGGAAGGCTTCATCGATTTTATCGATTAATGATGATCTTCTGTCAGAAATCAAGACCATTAAGATATCTAACGATAACTTAATGAAGACTATCGAAAATACTCTTTCCCTCATATAAATGTAAATTTTTATATTATAATATTTTGATATTAGCTGTAATAAATCAGTAGACTTAGTTACATATGAATAGAAAACAATATTTTACATTCATTTTCTCACATTTACAAAAAAATCAATGATTCAAATATCTTTATATACAAATTTATTATAACAAACAAACAAATTAAATTTACAATGATTAATAACCGAAATTAAAGTGAATTTCTTTTTGGCGTTTTGAATATACATGTGGTATGTTTTATACGAGGTCTAGCATTATATAATCTTGGGAGAATCGTTGGTAAAGCCTGATTTGAGAGAGAATTTTGCCTAAATATGGCCATATTAAGTAATTGATCAACTGTTGGTCTCTCTTCGGGGTTTTTGGATAGACAGCAACCAATAACTTTTTGAAATTCATGATTTCTAATAAGTTCTAGCTGTGGTTTCTTGTGCAAAGTATTTTGACACAATTCTGTTTCATCAGCTCCGATCCAAGGGAAAAATCCGGTTGCCATAACAAAAAATGTGACACCTATTGACCATATATCTGCTTTAAATGGATTATATGGCTTCATGTCTAATATTTCTGGAGCAATGAATGGGATTGAGCCACCATAGTGAAGTTCTGTGTCCTTGTTTTCGTATTTGATGCTAAGGCCAAAATCGCATATCTTTATCCTATCATAATCATCAAGAAGTATGTTTTCTGGCTTTATGTCTAAATGAGCGATTTTATTATTCTGACATGCTTGAATTGCCTTCAGAATACCGCATGAATAGCGGATTAAATTATCACCATCTAAGTAATTCTTTTGTTTGATAATGGAATATAATGAGGCTTGGCAAAATTCGTATAAAATGTAGATAAATCCTTCATAGTGCTCGTAATTATACATTCGAACAATTGAAGGATCATCAATTTCGTTCATTAGATTGATTTCTGATTGACGAAAACGATTTTCAGGAATTACTTTCAGAGCAAAGTGCGTTTCATAATGAGGATCATAAACTAAATACACTACCATGTGTTCATCAGCATCAACAATATCTTTTATGATGATATTTTTAATCTTAGCATATGATTCATCTGTTGGATTCATAAATTCAATAATGAAATCATTTTTGTTTTTTTGAATGGGTGTTAATTATTTTTCACATTAATACTTGATTTATTTTTTATTCCATATTACAGATAGAATTTATAAATCTGCATTCAAAAATATTTATGTAACGCATTGAAAATTTTGAACTAATTTGAATATTCACAAAAATTATTTTTGATATTTTATACCATATGTGATTTAAAATAAAAAATAAATGTCATCGTTTTTTATAAAAATTATAAAAATTGCAAAATATGGATTTACTTTCAGTTATAAACTATTTGTTTAAGTACGTTCATTAAATTGAATTTTTTGAATATGTGTTTTTTGTTTTCAATTTTTAAAATTAATTAATAATTTGATTAAAACCATAATTTCCTCACAACTCTTTTTTAGCATATTATTTCATATTATATGATATATTGTTTTTTTCTCAAATACATATCGGGAATTGTGAAAAGTTTATTAATAACATTTGCCTTGTTTAGCCATAATATCATAATTTTATTCGATATTTTCTAAATTATTTTGTATTTTCAATTTATTGATAATTTCAATAACAAAAAATTCAATAGCTCTCAATATCATTACATAAAATTTCAATTATTAATTATTTTTAACTTATAATCATTAATTATATAGCATTTGATAGATTGACTTTTTATTTTTATTGTTTTATTTCAATTCAACATTAGTTTTCACCTATTTTCATATATTATTAATTCAAATTATTTTATCTTTATAATGATGCTTTGCAACGAATAAAATCAATTATTTGTGAAAACAAAAAATTCTCTCAAATTGAAAATAAGTATTATTTGCGAGAATAATCATTACAACCATCTACTGGCATGGGATAACTATATGGCTTAAAATTTTATCTCCAAACTTTAATATCTATGAGAAAATAATGATTCACAATAATATTTTTGATAATCATTAACAAATGAATGCCACATTAAGAAAAATGCAGGTCTTATATAACAATTGTACTTGAGTTAATGTTTTTCAATATCAACTCTGCAATAGAAAAATGATAAATGTATATAAATACCATCATGCATCTAAACATAAAATTTTTATTTCATCAGCCAAAGGCTCTCATCCAGATAAAATGATTTACAAATTAAATTAAAGTTCAAGAAATAATATCACATCCCAACCTACCTATAAAATATCACTCTTTTAATTTTAACTTTTTTGTATTCCTTCGTGTGATCTTTCTTGCTCAATTTAGAAATCATGAAAGACTTAAAACATTTCATATTCAATGCATATACGAAAATATATAGAAGGCAATATCCTTCAAATCTTTATATGAAATGTGATTTCTTGGAATTGAATCTGACAAGTAGTATATGTTGAAGGGTTTAGTGACTTTTTTTGTTACGTCTATATATAGATGAAGGTATATTTTCACATCTTCTATATATAGATGATATAAAAATTTTTTCTTACGTTTTTTAAGTCATGAATTCGTAAGAAAGCGCGACATTATTAAATAAATTAGTAATAAATATTATATACTAAACACATTTTAAAAATTAACATTAATTTTAAAATAATTTATTTTTTATCTTTTATAAAAGAAGCTATATATAGATGATGTCAGATATTCCGCGATTAATTAAACATTGTTTAAATCCTGAATGGGTTAAACTTCAATTTAAAAATGAAGATTGTGAATTATTAAATGAATATGAAAGCCAAAATAAGCTAATGAGGTATAAATATAATGATAAAGAATATTTAATTTCATGGAATCAATGGAGTCATAATCAAAGACCTCATAAACGAGAAGAAGAAATTGAAAATAATGAAATGGAAATCATTGATGACATTAAAGAGGATGGAATTCCTAAATTTTGTAGAAAAACCTTTAGAACTAAGTTAGGAGCATATAAACGTAGAGTATTAAATCCTGAATATCTTAAACATCAATTTAAAAAGGAAGACTGTGAATTATTAAACGTTAATGAATATGAAAATGCTAAATCAAAACTGAGATATAAATATATTGGAAGTGATGAAAGGTGTAAAGATAAAGATAAAGTTTATTCAGTTTCATATAATAACGGGCACACGTTAGGGATAAGAAAACATTTAGGAGATTATGGGAAATGTTCTGAATTCTTCAAATCTAGTATGTACGAGAGAATAAAAGAAATTAGAAATAAGGGTTTCGTTTTGCGAAAAAAACGTACAATACGCAATTTCGCTAAAAAACATTTAGCTAGCAATTTCGACCTTTGACTCCACTCGAGAAAGGGACAGACTAGCCCATTGTCACTTTTTAATTTAGCAAATGAACGCTTATGGAGTGGAGTTTTTGGGTAAATCTGATTTGCTTATAAATGAAATAAAATCAAAAGAAACCATATTGGCATTATATTATGCAAAAATAAATGATCGTACTTAGTACTTTTAAAGTTAATTTCAGAAAAAATTTGACACAATGGTATCCGGCACATACAAGTGGTGTACAACCAAAATATAAGTTGGTTTAAACATATATTGCTATATCTCATGATCTTACTTAGTACTTTTAAAGTTAATTTCAGAAAAAATTTGACACAATGGTATCCGGCACATACAAGTGGTGTACAACCAAAATATAAGTTGGTTTAAACATATATTGCTATATCTCATGATCTTACTTAGTACTTTTAAAGTTAATTTCAGAAAAAATTTGACACAATGGTATCCGGCACATACAAGTGGTGTACAACCAAAATATAAGTTGGTTTAAACATATATTGCTATATCTCATGATCTTACTTAGTACTTTTAAAGTTAATTTCAGAAAAAATTTGACACAATGGTATCCGGCACATACAAGTGGTGTACAACCAAAATATAAGTTGGTTTAAACATATATTTTACTATGGTCAATATCCTAAATACTGATTGCTTTGCATTCATATCTCTTACATTTTCTATACCCACATCACTATTCATTGCTATTCCTATCTTTTTCATTTTTGTTTGTTTCTCATAATTTCTCAAAAAACATGATAACTTGATATTTGTAAATATCATACTTTATAACGTAAATAAGAACTTGACCTATTAAGAAAAGCAGTAATGAAAAGAAAATCTGAAATTCATAAAAATTACAAGTTTTTGATGACAATTAGCTTAATTAAACCAGGTACAAGATTATATAATTGTATTTTCTATCCAATTATCCATATAATATCTTATCCAGAAAAAATAACTTGATCAATACCAAATGATTTTTTAACTAGTAAATAAAGTATTTTCTTTACACACACATTGTATATCATAGTTTTTTTTTGGTTTCGCAAAACATCCAAAAACAAATATGCTATAAAAGTGACAATTTTAGCAAAACGAAACCCTTATTAGAAATAATTATTTTCATGAATGAAAGATTCACTACCATAATGAAATAAAAAATAAAAATTTTTTTAAAAAAAGGTGACCAAACTATTTTTTGAAAGTCCGCCATAACTTTAATGGTACTATTTCAGCGTGTACAATGAATACAAAAATTCTAAGAGTGCCACATAAAATAGTACTTTAGACTTGAGTTAATGCTACCAAGCAAATGTTAAAAAGATGACTTTAGTGTTTTGATAATCAAAGATTAAAATCATTATTGTCTAAATCAATAATCATAACGACAGAAGTTAATGTTTTTTCATCAGTGCTTTAAATCCACTTTTAAAAGTATACCTCAAAAATCAAAATATCAAAAAAAATTGGCCGATAGGTTTGGCTTTAATTTTTGTCTGCTTTTATGATTTGATATGGATGTTATAATTTTAAAAGTTGAGCCAAATTCACCAATAGATTTTTGAGATTTGCAAATACTCAATAATTTTCAGCGTGTTATCTTTTATTAAAAGAACTATTTGGTTTCAGTATCATATAAATTGATATTTACTTTCTATTTGAACCTTCATTTAGCTAATGATTTAATAATACAGATTTCATCTAGTCCTTATAAGAGAATTTTGAATTTGTTATAATAAAAAAACAAACAGATATAGCTTACACTTCTATAATAAAGATACCTTTTATAGAAATCAGTATGAAATGTGTTTTGGCTTATTGGAAGCATATCAGACATAATCACCATAATCAAAAAATCTATATACCCAATAAGTAATAAATTTGTCGATATAGATTTTCCATAAAATTAGTTTTTAGTCTGATCTTAAAATAAATTTAATTTTTTATAAAAAAATCACATTTAAAAGTACCTTTTTAGTAGCTCGAAATCCTGTTGGTGAATTTCGGGCGTACTTCAAAATTAGCTTTTCTTCTACATATGCAAGCTATATTTTAAATATGGGGCAAATCGGATCGGCGAAAGGAGTTTAGTTACCTTTTTAAAAAATAAACTTTAAAAATTCATGTCTTACGAAAAATTAAAACTTAGTTATGTTTATTATTTTATTTTTTTATTTTGTATGAAATGAGCGTCAAAACTAACGACGTTAAAAAATTGGGATTCACAAATGAGGAAATAAAGGATATATTAGAGGAGGCGGGTTATGAGGTTGATAAATATTATTTAAGAAATTGTCAAAAATTCGCGGAGTTATTAAATGAGTTTGATTATGATGGAAAAATGAATAAAGATGATGTTATAAATTTCTTATATCCCACATCTGAAGAAGAAAAACCTAAAGAACCTGATGTTTTTCCTGAATATTATGAAGAACGGATTAAAGATGATGAATACAATGAAATTGAAAGACTGAAAAAAATAAGAGATGAAATAGATGAAAAAATTAAGGAATTAAGAGAAGTTGAAAATATAATGAAAATGAAGTAGAGGGTTTAATGAATATCCCAGCTTCAGAATCAGAAGTTCAGAAATCTCATGAAGAAAGGTATAAAAATTATGTCTCAGAATCAACACAAAATTTATTAGATGGTGAAATAGACGAAACACTTTCAGAAGAAGGTACTAAATTTATTCGTAAACATAAGTTACAATTTATTGATAATGAAGAATACCCCTGTATCTTATTTTCACCACCTTTAGATTCCGAAAAATTCAAAAAAGCACTAAAAAACGTGACATATGCAACTAATACGATTAAGAAAGAAGATCATGATATTTACACAAATTATTATTTAAATAAATGCACAGGTGTTGATAAAGTTTTTGATTTATTAGATAAAATATCAAAAGAAACCATTGGAACATATAAAATTTTATGTGATTGCGGTTTCATTGTTGAAGATACTAATAATGTTTCATATGAAAGAACAGCACCGAAGGAAGACGAAGTTGAAAGGTCTATATCATTCGTTATTAAGAATATAAAAGATATGAAAACGTATAAGCATTATATTTATTCATTTATTTCAGAAAAAATGGAAGCACCCCATAAAACATCTTCTTCATCATTTTATAGCTATTCATACATTCCTTTTCAAAGTTGTGAAATTAAATAAGACAGGAATTAGATTTAATGTATCAGGGTACGCATTCTTGAGTAAATTAAAATGTATTCGTCACGTCGCAGATGATAAAAATTTATGTGTTCTTAATTCATTTTATGGGCTTTAAAAATAAACTTTATTTTTATTTATTTTTTAATTTTTTATTCTTACATAAATGAACAAAAACGGAACAGCTAAAATGAATGATAATCAAATTAGAGCAGAAGGTAGAAGGTTATTTAAACGCTTCTATAACATTCCTGATGGTGTTAATCCTAAAACTCGTAGAAGCTATTTAAATGAAGCAATAGATGCATATGAAGGGTTTGACATTTCATCAGAAAGTGAGAGATTAGCGAGAATGTTAAATGTTAATATTGATTTCTATTATTGTGATCCTCAACCAGAAGAGGTGGACATAAATAAGGTAGACTTTCCATTAGTGGATTCAATAATGATAGATCCAGAATTTGAAACAGTAAATATTTTATTAACACAGAGTCCATGTGGAAAACTTCACGCTGACAGAATAACAGACGTTGAAGCACTCACCGGCTATAAAGTTTGTCCATATTGTAAAGAAGAAGTTTATTCTATCCGTGATGGTCCAGAAAGGAAAAACCAAAGAAGATTTTTAAAGCATTGTGAGAAATGTAAAGAAAATAATGGAAGATTAATTCAAGACGTTCAATTGCAAAAGACCCAGCAACCATATGCACCACATATTACGAAACAGAAGATATATCAGTGGTTATTAGCTCACAATTTGCAGAAATATTATAAACCGACAAGATATTATATTACTTTTGACTTCGAAACATTAGAGACTAAAGAAGAATTACAACTTTCTGAGTGTGCAACTTTGAACGCTTACTTAAAACCATTCATGGTATCATCAACGGTTAAATTAAATGATAAAACATATACGAGGAATTTTTGTTTAACTTCGAGTGATTCTTTTATTTCTGATTGGATTGAATTTTTATTTTCAACCTGTTCATTAGTTGCTAAATCAAATATGAGTCAATACGATGAATTATTGAAGCCGCAAACGGCGGGGACTTTGTCCCATACATTAAATGAAAAACAGAAGGAAGCATTTAAAGAACTTCTAGATGAGGAATTCAATAAAGTGAATATCATAGGTTTTAATTCGGGAAAGTTTGATTTAAATTTAATTCTTCGTGATTTAAACACTGCAAAATGGAAAATAAAATCAATGCTGGGTTCATCTTCACAATTTAAGCAAATCATTGTAAAGAAAACAAACGTTCCATATGAATTAAGATTTATTGACATCAGAAATTATATAGCGGGTGGAACATTAGATCAATTCACTCAAGATTTCGGAAATAATAAAACACGTGTTAAATCCTTTTTCCCTTATCAATTTATCACGTGGGAAAATTACGAAGAAGAATTATATAAAGTGGAACCATTCACTCAAGATTCATTTTATTCAGCATTAACTCAAGAAACTATATCAGATAGTGATTATCAAATATATCTCAATGATGCTAAAAATTTTAAGAATAGATTAGAATATTTTATTCATTATTGCAATAAAGATGTTGAAATTATGATTGACCCAATTGATAAAATTATTGAAGAAACATTTGTTTATAAAATTGATATGCTCCATAATCTTTCTTTATCATCGAATGCTTCAATGATTCGTTACGCTTTAGCATATAAAGACTTTAATCCTAATGAAAAATATCCTGAGGAAGAGATAGAATCAAGTTTTGAATTAACGAAAAAGTATTGGAAATATAAAATTGAATCATATAAGAAACAAGATGAAAAAGCAGAAAGAGATACTAAAAATGATGTTTCAATGGATGATTTTCAATACTATCACGATTTAATCCTTTCATCTAAATGCAAAATGTGTGGTAAAGCGTTTACATATGCAAATAAACCAACATTGGATAGAATCGATAATGAAAAACCACATACCAAAGAAAATTGTCAGTTAATGTGTTGTTTGTTGTGCATGAAAATTCGGTTCACTTCACTTCTGACAAAAAGTGACAAGTTTACATGACAAAAATAGTTTACTTGGCAAAATATATAGGGTATTTTTTTAAAAGTAGTTATCTTTATATATAAAAATAAAACTTTTGATATATTTGAGTAAATGATTTATTAATTTATTTATTTTTTTTAAATCAAATCATATAAATATATATATATATAATAGTGAAATAGAACAAGAGATAATTATTGATGATTAAATTGTAGACGAGGATAAAAGTTTAGATAAATTAATAAAATTAGTGTGGAATCAGACAAAGTTTCCCGCTGTTTGGGAAGGAATTGTTGGCTATGATGTACTGATTCATGATCAGTACATCATAGCCAACAATTCCTTATACAAAGTTCAAAAACTTGGGTGCAATCAGAACTGATTGCACCCAAGTTTTTGAACTTTCTCGAGGGAATGAAAGGGTAAGAGGTATACATTATGAATATATACCTCTTACCCTTCCATTCCCTCTCTGACAGCGGAAACTTTGTCTGAATGTTAAACTATTCAGACAAAGTTTCCCGCTGTTTGGGAAGGAATTGTTGGCTATGATGTACTGATTCATGATCAGTACATCATAGCCAACAATTCCTTATACAAAGTTCAAAAACTGATTTTCATTTGGCAGATCCACTTCTTGTCTTTCCATTTTTTTTGAATCAATTTATACAAATAAACTTATAAAACACAAAATTATTATTTTATAATATAATTCTTAGATAATACATCCGATATGTAAAGTGTCAAAAATGAAGTGAACCGAATTTTCATGCATTACAAGTTAATGTGTTGTTATTGCAATGTCGTAAAATCAAATAAAGATGAAGATGTTCAACGTTTAAGAATCAATTTAAGAAATTATACATTAAAAAATAATTTACCAATGACTTTAGATTCAGTTGAAGCTTATCACATTCTCCGTAATGGAATTACTGGTGGTTTATCAAATGTTCAACATAGAGTAAATCTTAAAGGAATCACGCACATTAATAAACTTTCATATAGTCCAGAAACTAAAACTGTATCAAATGAGGACACTTCCAACATCATGACTCATTTCGTTGGTGTTGATTTTAATTCATTATATCCTTCATCATTTTCATCTAATCCTCATGATTTCATTCAATATACTGACCATAAAATGTATATGCCGGGAAGATTGAATGGTGTTATCATTTGTGATACAGCAACAAAGAAAGCAAAAGCACTGGGAATAATTAAGAAGAAAAATACTTTATTCGTGGCTGAAGTAAAGGGTCACATTGATGAAAAATACATTAATGATTACATAAACTTTTTACCGATAATAAGAAACTTAGATATTATCACAGATGAAAAAACAATTGGCAGTTTTATGTATAATTACATGAAATCAAACAATCTACCGGTTGACCAGAAACAGAGGAAATTAACTCAGTTAGCATCAACACACAACCAATATCAACCATTTTCTTATTATTATCTTTGGTATCTAATAGACAGATTTCATTTTATCATCGATGATATTCAATCAATTTTAACATTTACGAAAAACACTTGCTTTAATGAATTTGCGAACGAATTTATGAACGAAAGACAAAAGGCTGAATTAGAAGGAAATAAAGGAAAAAGTTTATTTTGCAAGATTTCGCTTAATGGATCATATGGTTACGATGCAATGAATACACAAAATTACGCAAAGACTAAAATAATGAATGCACAGAAGGCACGCGTTGCATGTATGTCAAATAAGTTTAAAAACATAAGAGAAATAGGTGAGGATACATATCAAGTGATGCTTAAAGATAGATTTTATAGATGTGATACATGTTTACAAGAGGCATTCTTCACTTTAGATAATGCTAAATACTGGTATTTGGTTTTCATTTATGATTTTATGTATAAATGCATGGATGTTAATCGTTTTCATTTCATTGAAGGTGATACTGATTCATCTTATTGGGCTATTGCTGGCGATCCAAGTCTTCCTAACACTCAAGCATTTCAAGCAATTGTTACCGATAAACAATTTTATGATAAAAACATTTTCAAATTCGCACCATTTGATTTCTTCTGTTTTGATGAGAAATTTAAACCTAAATTAAAGAATAAAGCTGAAGAAAAAGCACATGAGAAGAAGTTATTGGGTTTAGCAATTGAGAAACAAGGTGATAACATGGTTGCTTTATGCCCTAAGTGTTATACATCATTCAACGGTTCAATTGATGGAAGTGATTTTAAAAAGATTGCACAAAAAATGAAAGGTGTTAGTTTACGACAAAATAAACAATTAACACCTAAAAATTATTTGGATATAATAAATGATAAAGTGATATTTGATGGTCAGAATATTAATTTACAACTTAAAAACGGGTCAATGACTCGCTTAACAATCGGTAAGACTGCATTAACAGGAGCACACACTAAGGCTGTATGTTGTGAAAATGGATGTTGTATGCCATTTATTTAATACAATTTAAAATTTTATTTTTAATAAAATGCCACAGAAGGGACAAAAGGAACCGAATAGATTTATACCAAATGGTTTTAACTTTCAGATTCCAAATAATCAACCGCAACGAATTTTTCAAATCCCACCACAGCATCAACAGCCGCAACAACGACCACCACCACCACCACCACCACAACGTCAACGGAGAAGAACATTCACCCCTGAAGAAAGAAATTTCAATAATTTGATGCGTCAACAAAATCAAGGTTTGAAATTTAGATAGAAGATATACCGCTGAGATTCATATTTTACCTAATAATACGGTTAATTTTGCTGGATTTTATGATCATCATCAGGAAATCTGGACTCCACCATTTGATACCGTTTTAGAAGGAGGAACCGTTAATGATGCGATTCAATATGTAAATAATGGTTTTGATACTATGATTCAAAGAGGTGGGCACCCTTAAAACATTTATTTTATTTTTATATAAATGGATAACGCAGATTTAGAAAATTTAATTGATGATTTAGTATTTAATCAAAATTTTCTTAATTATATGAATTAAAATCATATCTCCAAAACATAATAACAATATAACGGGTGATGATATGGATTATTATTATTCATATTATAAAAATGAAATTTTGAAATATCATGATAAAATAATTTCTGAAATTAAAGACAAAATTAAAAATAATGAATATACAAGGGAAAAACTAAATCACAACTTAAACAGTTGAAAGATTTCAAAAATAAAGTATTAACAGAAGAAGAGATTGATGAATTATATAAATTATATAATCCTGAGCCGCAAAAACCAAAGGAACAAAAACAAAAGAAGAAAAAAGCCGAAAACAACACCAAAAGAGAAAGTAGCAAATGTTCAACAGCTAAAGGTGCAAAACGCCAGGTCCTTCAGACCATAAATGATGCACAAGCTTTAATTTATGATTCATTAGTTAAACCATATTCAGCCCGACTTTTAAATGAAGATCAACTTTTGGAATTCATCCTTCAACATAAACTCGAAGCGGGAAAGTATATCAAACCTTTATATACAGCATATTTAAAACAAATGAATAGAATACATCCAGAATTAATGAAAGGAAAATCAACAACTAAAACTTCATCATCCAAAATCAAAGCAGATAAAATTAAACCACTTACAACACCAAAACCTCCAACGGTAGTACCTCCTCCTTCAGTTAATCCTTCATCATTCACTTTATTATATCCATTTCAAACATTAAAGAAACAAAAATATTTTAAAAAGGATTTCAAGATATTAAATAAACCAATTGACCCGAAAATTCAACCGTTAAAGGAAAAATTTAGTCGCCCTTCATTTGCACCATATCCATATTCATACGAAATAGATCATTTAGAATATTCAAAAGGAAACGTTACTTATTTATTTGCCATTAACATTAACACTAGATATTTATATTGCATTCCAGTGAAAGGGAAAACAGAACAGGAAACAAGAAGAGCTATTCAATACTTACTAGATCATGAAAGAGTAGATAATATAAGGGGTGATGGTGATAAAGGATTTCAGGCAGCTATGATTCATTATTTCCCACAAATTAATTTTTACTTTTCATCCTCTCCATATACGTTTCATAATAAAATAGTTGATGCGGTAATGAGAACTCTTAGAGATGCGTTAGGGGTTAACGGTCAGATATACTGGGATGGAAATCATGACTCCATCATACAGCAGTTAGTATATTATTACAATAATACATGGCATAGAACTATAAACATGAAACCAGTGGAAATGAAAAATGATATTTCAAAAGAATGGGAATATATTAGAAAGCAAATGGAAAGGTTAAATGATGTTAAACGTGAACAAATTAATTCGGGGCTCATGAATTTTAAACAGGGGGATAAAGTTTTGATTCATCTCGATTATGGAAAAACTGATAAATCAATGACAAAAAGAAGACAAAGATTTGACACAATAGCTGAATTTGTTAGATATATTAACGGCAATGCATTAGTTGAGGTTAACAATAAAATTAATAGAAATTCCGATTTATTTTATTACTCATTATATTTAAATAATATTTAATTTTTTTATTTCGTAAGAAATGAGTGACAACAAAGCAGCCAAGAGTCCTGATTCAATTAAGATTCAGAGTCCAGATAATGAATATAAAAAGAAACTAAACAGAATTAAATCAAAAATATGCTATTACAAAAAGAAGCCGCAATGCGGTGGGGTGATGCCAATAAAACTAAAGTAATTGAAAACGATAAAGAGAGGAAAGAAATAATCGAAAAATTAGAAACTTACCGTTCAATCCTTAAACTGAGTGAAGCAAAAATAAAGAATTTAATAGAATAAATAAATTGATTGGAAGAGATGAATTTAATAAAGATGAATTTTTAAACTCAATCCAAATTTAATTTTTATTCCTCTTCGACAACGTCTCTTCGAGACGCCGAACCCTTCTGGGTTCTTCTTTCATCATTACTGCATAACCGCATCTTCTCGGTTTTCGTGGTTTGTTGTTTTTAATTCGTTCTTGCATCATTTTTATCATTTCCTCCCTTGGTATGATTCGTGGTAAATTTTGAGCTTGTGGGGTATCCATTTATATAAAAATAAAATTTTGTTATCAGTTATTTTATCATCATTTTATTAAGTTCATCTTTAGTTAATAATTTGAATGGATTCGCTAATGTTCCACCTTGAGCCACAACACTTGCCCCGGCTAATTGTGAAGAACCTGGGATAAGTACTCCATGAAATGATTTCATTGGTATTATTAATTTAGAAATAGTTGGCTTAATTAATTTTGTCATTTATGATAAAAATAAAATTGCATAATTTAAATTTTTTTCTTTCTCATTTTCTCATTTTCTCATTTTCTCATTTTTCATCCTGTTTTGGTTTCAGCAACTTTTCAAGTTGTTGTCAGTAACTTTAATTTTAACTTTGGATCAAATATTGGGTTTCCATCTTTATCTCTTCCAATAACACCATATGGTAGAATCTTCATTTATACTAAAATAAAAATTTAAATTATGCCGTTCTAAAGTTTGTGAAACAAACATTGAGCGTTCATTGAACGCGAAACCATGCATATACTGTCATATAAGGTGGCATGTAATCTTCACCCGAGCCTGTTGGATTTGTTGTGAAAGTGTGTGAATGATTTCCTCCTGGTTCAGTTGGTCGAAAAGTCTTTTTTGTTGAATCGTTATAAGCTGGAGATAAAACATCATGACCGGCTTCATAGTCTGAGTTGTATAATGGGTGGTCTCTTAATGAGTGTATATGGTCGCCAGAAAAGTTTGTAGTTCCTGTATGCTTATGCGGCGGAAGGTTTGCTTCTTTAATTTTCTTTGAACCACCGGTTTGTTTTGAACTATTAGCACAGTAGAGGAAACGATCGGTTATTTGTTGCCATGTACCGAAACCGAATACATCAGCTGGATTTGTTGAATTCATTGATGTATATATTGAACCAATGGGGTAAATCATCTCAAGAATTGTATTTAATCCATTATGAATATTGAATTTATTATATAATATTGAATTTGGGTGAGTATTTAAAACTGGTCTTGTTATCAATAGAGCATTTCTATTATCACTCAATGCTTCATTAATCATATCATCTACGTATGTATTATATACTCCTGCTAATTCTTCATAGGGAGTGTATGAATTTAAATCCATTTAATCAAAAATAAATTTATAATTTTAAACATTTCTATTCATCAATATTTCATCATATGAACTTCTATACTGTGGTGGTGTACCTGTTGGATGATATTTCAAACCTTCGTCCGGTGTCCATGTCCAATATGTAGTCCTAGTAAACCAAACCTGAGGAGGATTTGTCACCTTTGAACAGTAAGTGTCATTTTCACCCTGAATGATTGGATAAGCTTTCACTTGTACTGTAACTTGTGAGTTGAAAGTTTCTAATCCATCAAAGAATATACCCGCTCCATCATGTTGAACTGGAATAGTGCATAAGAATGAAGTTTGGTCTTTCCATGTTCTAGCTAATGGCGTGCCATCATCTGCATTCAGTGGTCTAGTTAATGAGTCCTCGTATTCTTCTGTGCATTCATTCACTCCATCTAAATCAGAAGCTTGAAGCATACGTGTAAAGAATATGTCGCCCACTGTGGTCATCGCTTGATCGGGGAAGTTTCTGGAATCTATAGTGACCTGAAGACTCGAAGCATTGGATTTTCTAAAAACCGTTCTTTGCATTGCATTCTTCGGAAATGCTAACACAACATCTGTAACATTATGAAGAGCGTATGAGAAATCTGAGCTAATACCTTCAGGAGTGATGCAACCTCCATTTAGTGAACGAACGTCAATATGTTGAGCTGGAATCATGAATGGATCTTCCTTACTGAATAAACGTGGTATTGCTTTAACTGATTCTTCAATTAAACCGTATCCTGGTGTAATGCATTTATCCTCTAAAACTTCCATCTTTGTGCATGAAATAATAACGTCATCAACTGTTGCCTCAGCAGATGTAGCGGCTAAGCTTGTAATTAATTTGGCAGGAAGTCCGATTTGTTGGAATTTGCGATCATATTTATAACATGATTCATAATCTTTTCATAATTTTCATCAGTTATCTTTTCATAAACGTAATTTTGTAAATCAGCAACTCTTAACGGGTCAACCTGACAAAATACTAAAGTATCCCTGAAAACATAATATTTAAGAATGATATCACCAAATGATTTAGGATAATCATCGAACGCCTGAAATGCTAACAAATCATTTACCGGAATAAACCATATCAAAAGTGACATCAACTTCTTCATTTGCTTTCTTGAAAACTTCTGAAGGGTCAATATATTTACCACATACTGAGTTATCATATTTTTGAACATTATTATAACGAAGACATGAACAAACTTTTTAACTTTCCTTTCTGATTTTGGTTTATATGTTGCAAATGCGAAAGATTCACGGGCGCAATCCATCTGAAGATAACCGGCATCACCTCTTTCGGTTTCTACTTCTAATTGTTTAAAGCTTTGATTTGATGATTTGTAACCAACGAATAAACGCATGCATTTAAAAGCGGCATCACATGTGAAAGCTTTATTTGAAACTAGAGTTGCTTTAACTTTGCGTTTCATATATGTGTCACCTAATTGGTTCACATCATGAGCCGGATTTGTAATTCTTAAATGAGTTTGTTTATCATCAAAATATGGAGCATCAGAGTCATAGCATGAACTTTCAAGTTCTCTATAATATCTTCTACCGTCATTCTTTGCGAATATTTCATTTATCTTTTCGAATGAATGAAACACATTTCCATTAATCGGTTTAGTGTTTGGCACCAAATAGTTAGTCGTCATTTATTAATAAATAAAAAATCAAAATTAAAAGATGAAAATGAATTTTTAATTTTAATGAAATAATCAACTATGGCTGCAGGTATATTTAAGAAACTGTGGGATAGAGTAAAAAGAGGAGCGAGTAAAGTTTGGGAAACATTGAAGAAGGGGGCAAATTGGATATTTAAGAATAAAGAAGCAATTAGTGACGTTGCTGAATCAATAACACCAAAAGCCGCCCCAATAAGAGAAGTTTTAAATAAAGGAGAAAAAGTTTATCAAAGACTACAACCGATACTAAGATAAAAATAATATTTATTTATTTATTTTTCCACTATCTACCTCCTATTTTATTAAGTATTCCTTCAGCAATTCCACCAACTGCGTTACCTGCTTGTGCTCCCATCGCCGGATTACCTGCTTTAGTACCTAATACTCCACCTATGATAGTTCCTGCCGTTTTCGCTACTGGTGCCAAAAAGTTTGCAACGGGTTTAATAATCTTTTTATAAACCCAACCCGCAGCTTTCTTAATTCCATCCCATAATTTTTTAAAGAATCCTGCCGCCATTTCTGATTTAATATTAATTAAAAAAATATATTTCATCACTTATATTCTAATTTTTATTTAATGATAAATGAAACCGATTTTAAAAATAAATGAAACAGAGGAAGAAATAAATGAAAGTGAAAATGTTCAACAAAAAATAAACGTTGTTAAACCAATTACTGAAATAAAATTTTTTTTCATCTGTTGAAGAATTTAATGACTATTATGCTAATAATAAAAAATTATTTGAAGAATTGACAACGTGTAAATTGAATAAAATGTTTAAAGTTGATGGATTCAAAATTTCAAAAATAAAAGGAGTGGTTAGTTTGAAATCTATTCCTCAATCAAGAATCACCTCATTAATGAAAATAGATGATTTAACAAAAAGAATAGAAGAGATTGAAGAAAGAATGAATCAAATAATTGATTTCATAAATTCAAATAATCATTAGTTTCTTAAAGTTCAATGTTGAACTCATCAAATTCATCTTCATCATTACCATTACCATTACCTTTAGCGAGTTTATTTACTCTTTCAACTTTATCTTTTGATAGTCTTGCGTTTAATTTTTTCTGAAGTTTTTCGTTACCAAGTTCTAAAATTTTACATGGATGATATTTAAACCCGTTAAATTCTTTTTCCTCAGTTTTAATCATTAATCTACAAAGAACTTTAGTGAGGTGGTTTTGTTGTTTAAACCATTTATCCTTAATATTTGTTATAAATTCAATATCCGGAATTAATTCCCAAATTTTTGAATTTTCGATTAATTTACCATCAAATGCAAAAGCAATAGGTTTAATATTAAACTTACCTTTATAAAATAAACTTTGTACGCAATCATCAAAATAAACGTCTACTTGTTTAACCTGGGTGAGAATTGGTGAAAGTTTATCCATTAATTGATTCACAGTCACGAATTTTGATTCACTCATTTCTTACGAATTAAAAAAATAAATTATTCAAAAATGTAAGACATGAATTTTTAAAGTTTATTTTTTAAAAATTTTTTATTTTTTATTTCATTATGGTAGTGAATCTTTCATTCATGAAAATAATTATTTCTAATTTCTTTTATTCTCTCGTACATACTAGATTTGAAGAATTCAGAACATTTCCCATAATCTCCTAAATGTTTTCTTATCCCTAACGTGTGCCAGTTATTATATGAAACTGAATAAACTTTATCTTTATCTTTATCTTTACACCTTTCATCACTTCCAATATATTTATATCTCAGTTTTGATTTAGCATTTTCATATTCATTAACGTTTAATAATTCACAGTCTTCCTTTTTAAATTGATGTTTAAGATATTCAGGATTTAATACTCTACGTTTATATGCTCCTAACTTAGTTCTAAAGGTTTTTCTACAAAATTTAGGAATTCCATCCTCTTTAATGTCATCAATGATTTCCATTTCATTATTTTCAATTTCTTCTTCTCGTTTATGAGGTCTTTGATTATGTCTACATTGATTCCATGAAATTAAATATTCTTTATCATTATATTTATACCTCATTAGCTTATTTTGGCTTTCATATTCATTTAATAATTCACAATCTTCATTTTTAAATTGAAGTTTAACCCATTCAGGATTTAAACAATGTTTAATTAATCGCGGAATATCTGACATCATCTATATATAGCTTCTTTTATAAAAGATAAAAAATAAATTATTTTAAAATTAATGTTAATTTTTAAAATGTGTTTAGTATATAATATTTATTACTAATTTATTTAATAATGTCGCGCTTTCTTACGAATTCATGACTTAAAAAACGTAAGAAAAAATTTTTATATCATCTTTATATAGAAGATGTGAAAATATACCTTCATCTATATATAGACGTAACAAAAAAAGTCACTAAACCCTTCAACATATACTACTCTGACAAAATACTAAAATAGTCATTTTCATTCTTGAAAGACATCATAGTTTTATATAGAAAATTCATCAAATACCGAAATAATATAAGATTTTCCATCAAAAACACGAAGTTTTCGTGTAGTGACTAACTTTTCAAATAGAATGATATATGAAATCAATATCATTAGCAAATAGCTCCATTAGAGATGCTGAAATAAATGTAATTGAAGGAAAATTTCAATACATATTTGATTATCCATGCAAATCAAATTCAGTATGCACAGATTATGTTCTATCTTTAGCACCTGGAGTATATAAATTTGAATTATATGGAGCATCGGGTGGTTCTGCAAGGAATGTTGTTTCAACATATAGATTCGAAAATAACACATGCATTTCCGATGCAGTTGTTCGCAGATATAATGGTAATACTGCCTGCTTACAAATGTCTAGTATAGGAGGTGCAGGCGGCTATATCTCCGGTAAAATCCGTATTCCCCGAGAAACTGTCACTTTTTTGACTGTGGGAGGGAAAGGAATCTATTCCCATACACTTATTGAAATGAGTACTGCTCGATGTTTCTCAAGAAAATATATGATTCCAGGAGAATATGGTGGCGGAGGGGGTGCCTCTAATTTCTGTGATGTTGAAGGTTCTGAGGCCTGCGGGACAGGAAGTGGAGGTGGTCAAACCGCCGTCAAATTTTCGGAAAATGATTTGTGGCATAGAGTAATGGTAAGTGGAGGAGGTGGTGGTACCGACAATATATTCGGCACCTTTGGAGGTAATGAAGATGGCTCTGGAGGCGCTGGAGGAAATTTGGTAGCACAAAGTTGGTTTGCAGGTGGAGTTTTGCAGAAACAATATTTTGCGGATTCAACAAAAGGTTTTACCTTTGGTACAGGGGAAGGAGCCAGATATGGAACGCCAAAAAATAATAAAGCTGTTCCAAATGGCAATAATGTCGATAACGGAGGTGCTGGGGCGGTTGGTTTGGTGGCTTTGCTTCTCAACAGGGAGATGCTGGTGCAGGTGGTGGAAGCTCATGGGCTTTAACATCTGATGCAGTTATTCCCTCTGGGAATATTGAAGCAAGAGATGATTTATTCGAAAATGCCAAATCTCACCCTTATGCATTCAATAAGTCTTCTGGATATTTGTTTACTGAAGTTGTTAATGTAGGAGGAATCTGGAATGGTAATGGCCGTATTATTATTACTCTTTTAGATTTTATCCTTCCACGTTCTTGTGTCAGCTATGTACATTATTTCTTCGATATAATGATTGCTTCTCTTGTTTTGAACTAAAAATATCTTATTAGAATACAACTTTTTCATGGCCCCTAACCAGGTATCTAAAACACCATTTATCGCCTGAAAAGCGCCCTTAATTAATGCCAATTGGCATAATAACGATTTATTTAGAATGCTAATATGATGGAGAATCATGCTAGATCATTATTGGCCAGCATTATGTAATATTTGGGAAATCTTAACACTCATCCATTATTGGCCAGCATTATGTAATATTTGGGAAATCTTACTCAGATCTTAAAGATATATATGGTAATATAATGGAAGAGAATCAGCAAATAGCATGTAAAGAATGTGATAATTAACTTTTTATTATATCCAATAGTAGATAGCGATTAATTTCCAACTTTATGGTTAAATATTTTCTTATCGAGCTTCTCTTTAACTGTTGGATTAATGCTGTAAATTTTTGATGCTAGAAACTATGGAATATTCTTTGCTGCTGCATTTTTCTTGAGAGTTTTCCTGCGCATTGAATGAAATGGGGGCTTTAAAATATCTTGAAAACAGAATAGGACTACTTTTCCAAAGAAATGCTTACTTGTAAATTAGAGAGTTTCAAATTTGAGTATAAGATTATCATCATAACTTTTGATTTTGCTGAGTAAAAGGCAGAAAAGGTATTAACAAGTCATTTACTGTTGTTCATTAAAAGAAGAAAACTTTGTTAACAAGTAATGATGGAAAAATCAAGCTATCTTGTAATATTTTAAATTGAGAAGACATACAAAATATTTGAATGGTTTAAAATATTTTCTCTAAATTTCTCTAATATATTATCATGATTATATAATCAAATTTAAATTTTTATTCAAAAAGGCAATATTTCAAATTTTTAATTTCAATAATCTTAATTCTGCAATAAATGTATTTAGTTGTAGAAAATTTAAAGATCTTTCGTAATAGTTAGTAATTCGGTACTCATAAATTAATGATATCTTCAAGTAAAATTCTGCATTATTTCAAAAGGCAATAATTCTCTAGTAATTTTTCATCAAAACCTAACCATTATATTATAGGCGTAATGACGCATAATTGCAAAGAAAGAGAGCTGCATTTACTGGGCTTATAATTTTTGGTTGATGTCCAATGGAAAAGCAAACCAAACTCATTATGACAAATTGATGGGGATTTTTACAGGATATAATGATGTCTACAATGCTTTGTACAGGCTGAAAACAAATGAAGAAGAAAAATTAAACGCATTTTACAAAAAAATCAAACAAAACCTGATTGACTCTTATCAAATTCCGCCTGGTGAAATTATCAATAAAATATCCCAACTTTCAATTTATAACAACCGCTACATGAAGTCATATTTAGCGATTGCCAAACAAATTGTTGACGAATACCATCTAAATAAAGTCAACAAAATCACCACAGTTTTTAATTACCTTTTCTCCAAAGAATACAATATTGTATTGAATGAAAACGGGCGAAAAAGTTTTAACGATTTTGAAGATTCTCATTATTCATCTGATAGTCATGAACAAAAAAACAATACACAGATCTATTACGGATGATGGCAAAATATCATTTATAAATTTTACAGAAGGAGAAGGATTTGATAAAAATCAAAAATTAAATAGTGATTTATATCCATATTCAAGGGGAGGTTTTTCATTACTTGAATTATGCTGTTATCATGGATCTGTTGATTGTTTTAAGATCTTAAGAACGAAATTTCAATCAGAAATAACTCCAGATTGTCTTAGATATTCGTTTTTGGGTGGAAATCCAGACATTATGAATGAATGCTTGAAAGTACAAAAACCAGATGATGAATGCATGAAATATGCAATAATATCACATAATATTGATTTTGTCACATTTTTGATGAATGAACACAACATAAAAATTGATTTAGAATTGTGCTCTAAATACAATAATCTCCAATCATTTTTAGTTTATTTGGACCAAACAAATGATATCAACACATGTTTTGTTTATTCTCCGAATTTCCATCTTTCATCACTTTTAGAATATTTTATTTCAAATGGCTCATATATCAATGCTAAAGGCAAAAATGAAAGGACCCCTCTTCATCTATCAGCTAGAGATAATAACAAAGAAACTGCAGAAATTCTTATTTCAAATGGCGCAGATATCAATTATAAAGGCAATAAAAGATGGACCCCTCTTCATTATGCAGCCAGATATAATTACAAAGAAATTGCAGAAATTCTTATTTCAAATGGTGCAAATATCAATGCTAAAAACTATGATAGATCTACTCCTCTTTATTATGCAGCCAAATATAATAACAAAGAAACTGCAGAAATTCTTATTTCAAATGGTGCAAATATCAATGCTAAAAACTATGATAGATCTACTCCTCTTTATTATGCAGCCAAATATAGGGTGTCCAAAGGTGTGTTTAGCACAAACCTGAATACTGCGAATAGAAATAAACAAGTTACATATATATAAAGTTTATTTAAATATAATCACCATTGGATTCAATCACGCGTTCGCAGCGATCGATCCAGGCTTGAAAGACACGCTTTAAATCATCATGAGAAAATTGCTCAAATTGCTCTCTTACAAAATTTTCAAGATCATCTGGACTCGCGAATTCGCGTCCTTCAGCTCTCTTTTTTAGCGTGCCGAATAAATAAAAGTCAGAGGGTGCAATATCAGGTGAATAAATTGGGTTTGGAACAACTTTGACATTGTTTTCCACCAAGTAATTCATTACCTTATGACTTTTGTGAACTCTTGAATTATTAAAATGAATTGCAAACTTTTGTTTTTGTTGTTTGGATTTCTCAAACTCATCAGAATTGATAATTTGAGTAAGAACATTGTCAATTAGATACTGAGCATTCATCGTATTAGGTTTTTGAAGAATATCAATTGCGATGATGCCATTCACGCCCCAAAAAACCGACAACATCATCATTGGTGTGTCAATTTTTTTCTTCGGGAATGTTTGCGGATTTTCATCCTTCGGGATCCACATGATTTTGGCTTCTGTTGCATATTGAAACCAAGACTCGTCCCCTGTTACTAAAAAGCGAAACTTCTTGGATTGATACGCACCCAATATAGAGAGGAGCTCTTTCGAAGATTGGACTCTAGATTTTTTTGAACTGAATTAAGGTTGTGCGGAACCCAACGTGTATACGCTAGTTTGTAGTTCAAATAATTGTGCAGATAATAACTGACTGTTGTACGTGGTATCTTTGTCATCTCCTCTATCCTTCTGAGTGATGCTCTTGGGTCTTCATCTAGCGCTTGAAGAATTGCTTTGATTTTTCTTTGATCCGGCGATTTTTTGTCAATTTTTATGATGGGTGTCTTTTTGTTCATGAAGTGATACATCCTAACATGATACGTTACAGTGGAATAGCTAGGAGCATCCATACCGAAGCATTTTACCAATGTCTCGTAGATTTTTTTACAGTCTTTGCATTTTTTTGCAAGAGCGAGGATGTTTTCTTTATGATTCATTAAAAAAATGAAAAAAATCCCGCCAAAATTTCCCGCGAAACCGCCTCTTGTCTCAAAATTCATTTTATATCCCGGCATGGCGCCAAAATACAACATACTCATCATATACATATATTCATATTTTTTATTATATATTTATAATCAGCATATATCTCCTTTAATAGTCTCATATAGAGCGCTGTGCTAAACGCACCTTTGGACACCCTATATAATAACAAAGAAACTGCAGAAATTCTTATTTCAAATGGCGCAGATATCAATGCTAAAGACGATGATGAATGGACCCCTCTTCATTATGCAGCCAGATATAATAACAAAGAAACTGCAGAAATTCTTATTTCAAATGGTGCAAATATCAATGCTAAAGACAATAAAGGATTTTTCCTTCTTCATTATGCAGCCATGAATAATAATAAAGAAATTGCAGAAATTCTTATTTCAAATGGCGCAGATATCAATGCTAAAGACGATGATGAATGGACCCCTCTTCATTATGCAGCCAGATATAATAACAAAGAAACTGCAGAAATTCTTATTTCAAATGGTGCAAATATCAATGCTAAAGACAATAAAGGATTTTTCCTTCTTCATTATGCAGCCATGAATAATAATAAAGAAATTGCAGAAATTCTTATTTCAAATGGCGCAGATATCAATGCTAAAGACGATGATGAATGGACCCCTCTTCATTATGCAGCCAGATATAATAACAAAGAAACTGCAGAAATTCTTATTTCAAATGGCGCAGATATCAATGCTAAAGACAATAAAGGATTTTCCCTTCTTCATTATGCAGCCAAATATAATAACAAAGAAATTGCAGAAATTCTTATTTCAAATGGCGCAGATATCAATGCTAAAGACGATGATGAATGGACCCCTCTTCATTATGCAGCCAGATATAATAACAAAGAAACTGCAGAAATTCTTATTTCAAATGGTGCAAATATCAATGCTAAAGACAATAAAGGATTTTTCCTTCTTCATTATGCAGCCAAATATAATAACAAAGAAATTGCAGAAATTCTTATTTCAAATGGTGCAAATATCAATGCTAAAGACAATAAAGGATTTTCCCTTCTTCATTATGCAGCCATGAATAATAATAAAGAAATTGCAGAAATTCTTATTTCAAATGGCGCAGATATCAATGCTAAAACTCAAAATGGATATATCCCTCTTCATTATGCAGCCATGAATAATAGTAAAGAAACTGCAGAAATTCTTATTTCAAATGGCGCAGATATCAATGCTAAAGACAATAAAGGATTTTCCCCTCTTTATCTAGCATCCAGGCTTAATTACAAAAAAATAGTAGAAATCTTTAATTTAAACAAGACAAAATAAACAATTTCCTCGTATATTATTTAGAAATTGAAATCGTTGGGCGGTCTTAAATTTTAAGTTATCATTAATATTTTCATTGGACCGCACTAATTCTCTCAAATTTTTGAATATTTAAGGCTTCACTAAGAAGTGCTACCACTCTCAATTTTGGTTTTTTTGCTCAAAATATATGGGAAAATAGTTTTGTTATATATCATAGATGCCAAATGTGTCGTTTATTAGGATTTTTTATTTAGCGGTTGTTCCTAAAAAAGAACCTTAAAATTTTGACACTCTCACTTTTTCAACATCCTGATAATATGTTATAAACGAATTTCATAAAGAGAAGTCGAAATAATTCAATATGGACACGTTAGAATTCATTGAATTTCTTTGAAGCACCACTATCAATATTTTGTTTGATTACTAACAAATTTTTATTTTTCTAACTAATCATCCTGAGTTTTGAGTTTGTAAGTAAGAATACATGAATATTATTTTGTAAAAGCAATATATTTTACTACAAAAATGCTCATTTCAAAAGATTTCCTATATTTTTATCTAATCAATATGACCATTATATTGACAATTAGACAATCAACTTCATATATTCAATGGATACTATGGTGCGAGAGTTTTACATATGTTTTATTACCAGTTGAGTTTCCCAGATTTTAATGGATTTAACCAGAAACGGCCACCTTATAGTCTATCATTTTCAGAAAAAGAACGTTATAACTCATGTTAGTGGAAGAAGGCTTTTTTTGGGTGGGTCAATAAAAATTAAAAATAACGATAAATATAGCATTGATATACATCATAGAATATATACCTCATGGGACTTTAATTTTTGTCATGTTAGTGAAGCCTTAAGAAAACAAAGTTTATATATCTAAAGCGGCATATTTGCCACTTATTTGCCAACTACCCCCCCAAAAAAAAAAGTGCACCACAGCTGGTGTCGCCGCCGACTATCCACTTGCTGGGATGCTACGCAGCCTTTGATCTGGCCAATCTTAGTGCTGCTCCATCCACATCAGCAAGTGATTTCGGCGGGAGATCTCCAATGGGTCTTCCATGAGAGTTTCGCAAGCCAGAAGCGCAATACCTGTGCAGTTTAGCTGCTAGGATATAGTAGCTAGGCTGTGTAGGTATTGCCCTCATGCATTTGTACTACCGCCTTCCGGTCCCCAAAGGACTAAGGATTCTGTAATTACTCGAGCAGGGCAAGGTTCTTCCGAGATCTCTCATTCCATCGGAAGAACCTTGCCTTAAACTACTCAATTACTGTTCCCTGGGGCCAAACTTTTTTTGGTAGTTGGCAAATAAGTGGCAAATATGCCGCTTTACATATGTAAACTCTGTAAAGTTAAAATGTCATTTTTTGTGATTTATCCCTGACTCCTCTTCTGCATTCATAACTTGAATGTTGAACTTCAACCGACAAGACTGTATTATCCGAATTAATATAATATTAATCCATCAAAATGAATCAAGGAATATAAAAAGACAAGTTAGTTATAAAAACCTTAATTTTTAATCATACAAAATTTTTTTAATCTAAATTATTTCTTTGAAAGATGTACTATGAAAGCACAACAGCAGTTAGAAATCTCAGTTAATGTATTTTCCGAAGATTTCGAGACCAGAAAGTATGAATCTTTTATTTCTGGTGCTGCAAGTATTGAGTTGTATAAATTTGAAGTAAACCAATGGAGGACAAATTGATTTGACCTTAAAAAGTGAAACCGCTGAAGGAGCAAGGAGAGATCTATCATGTTCTACTCGATCTAATTCAATCCACGTAGATCCATTAGCAGATCCTTGTAGTATCCATGATTCTGGGCATGGTCCTTTGTTCGCATCTTTCCATGACATAAAAGAATAATGTGTCATTTCAAATTGACCGGAAGAGAGCTTTATTTGTATCCATTCTTCGGAAAATCCTTTTGTATCAAAGTATGTGGTCTTATCTTCTGGATGTAAAAGGTTTGTTACCGCTGTTGTTTCTGATTTTTCAGATGAAGCCGTAATTGAGAAGAATATATTGGCGCCATGATATTCAGTTTGGATTTGTTGGCTTGCGTAATTGAAAAATCCTTCAAATTCACGACCCGGTTTTGGAATGAAATATTTGGTTTTTTCTTTTGTGGCCTTCATTCGTGGAATTAATGTAGTGAGCAAGCCCTTGCATTTGTTCAGGTCAAATGAGGGCTGTAAAGTTGTAAAGGCCTGAATTGGATCCAGACCATTTGAAATAAGGTATTGTGATACTTGTAAGTACTTGAGAGGGTCACTTTGTATCATGGATCCAAGGAATTGCACTAAATGAATGCCACTTCCTGTAAATGAAGGAGATTGTATAATATTTGTCAACAATCTAGGAGAACAGTTCTTTAAAAATGAATTTTCAATGATTTTAGTAAAGTTACTTGCTATTAAATCTATTTCTTCTGAAGCATCTAAGCCGCAATCAAGTAATTGTTCTGCAAAATTTATTACATTATCAAGAGTGTTGGTTTTAAGAATAATTTCATTAGTTTTCTCTACTAGATCATGTATATCTAACAGTCTTGCGATGCAATTGAAAAATCTGCAATTTATTGGTGTAATTAATACGCTTTGGCCATATATTAAGCTTATAAAATCTTCCATAGGCCCATCAATTGGAGGAATTTCGAATTCTGAGACAGATTTTTGTGAAATTACTTTTGAAACTGTTGAAACGAGAAGTGAATTTACTGGGTATCTGATTCCTCTATGGATAAATATGAAATCATGAAAAGTTGAGCAATTTCTAAGATTATTTAATGCCTGCATTTTTTCAAGCATGTTTGATTGTCACTTTTTAGCTATTTGGAATAATTTTGACGTTTTCTTCATAAATACTCTATATGTCTGAAACACCAATTGAATCAAGTAGTATATATAGACATATGCCGCATCTTAAATGTATCCAAATCAAGGAATCAATCATATTTTGGCTTTAATTGATTTGATTATTGATCTCATAAAAGCCTTTTTTATTTGAGTGACTCATATATACCTGAGTCATATATACATATTTTCCAATTATCACATCCTCATATTTGACCACAACCCTAATTTTTATAAACAATTAGTGAAATATCAATTGTAATACTAATTTACATTTATGTATGTGCGATAAAATATTTTAAAATAGAAAAACAGTATAATTGTATGATTTTACCAACATTTAATATAAAAAACAAAATATAATTTAATAAACTTTGATAGAAAATGAGTATAATGGAACAATTCTATCCATGTTCTGAACGTATATAACTTGTTGATCGTCAACTGTTGTAAGAAGTGTGTCATAGCTTTGTTTTGTTGGAATCTTTAATTTATTAGTAGAATTATAATGAGTATAATCAACAATTTGTTTGCCTGAATCCAGAGCATAGAGTATGAAAGAATATTTTCCTGGATTCAAGAACAAAAAGTTATCTGTCACTAATAAATAATTTTCATTTGAAGGGAACGAAACAACTAATTGCATCCACTTGTATTTTTCACTTGCAATAATAAAATCTCTAAATGTTGCAAGTTTAACAAGTTTCTTAAGGTTAAAATCTCTTGTGATTTTCAAGTTTAACCATTGATGAACAGTATTATAATGTCTTGAACCTTTGATGATGATTGTTGGTTCTTCAGGAAGCATTGCTTTTCTTGCACGCTCCAAAATTTTGATTTCACATTTCTCAATTAATGTAACATCATTAATATGAATCATTTTCTCATATTGAGCACGTAATATTCTATTTCTATCAATAAGATCGCAAATGAATGGATCAATGTTGCTTTGATTCAAGTTTGGCATTTCAATATTTTTCCTTTCTCTATTTTCAAGATATGCTTGCATCTTTTCATTATGACGAAGTAATTTTCGAACAATTTCACATTTATCATTGAATTGCTCATTGTTTCCAATTGATCTACGCATGTTATCATTTTCTTCACTTATTTCACGGATCAATTTAATGATTTCTTCGTCAGAAAGCTTCTCAACATCAATATTTCTTGGTTCCAAACCCAATTTCTCAGCAAGTTTCTTATTTTCTTCCAATAACTTAATTAAGATTTGTTTTGCGTTTTTGCCAGCGTAAACGTCATCGAATGAATGTAATGGTTGTTCCTTCTTTGGTTTCTTTACTTCTGTTTGAGGAATTCCATGATGTTTGTTGGATTTTGGTGTTTGAATTACTGTATAATCTTCTGTTTCGTTTTGAACTTCAATTCCATCGAATAAAAATGGTCTGTTCTTAACAACTTCCAAGACTCTCTTTCTAAACTCTATATACTTTGAAAGATCACCATGGAAATTAGCTTGGAACTCTGCAAAAGATGAAAATCTTGTATCTGTTGGTATTTCATAAAAAACTCCACGAACATCAATGGAAGAAAGAGTTTTTATCTTGGAAATGAAAGAGATAAAGTCATCTTCTGAGTAGCCTGATGTCTCTTTGATATCTAAGTTCTCAACATTTGGGAATTTGCTGAGAATTAAGTCTAATTTTGTGACTTTTGTTCCACTAAGAATTAATATTGAAATTTTTTCAAATTTTCCTTTGGAAGTAAAGGAATCATTATCAATTGGATTGTATGAGGCATTGAGGAATTCGAGGTTTTGTAGTTTACTAAGTGATTGGAAGTCAATAATGTTGTTGTTCGAGATATTTAATGAAATTAAATTTGGAAGTTCTAAATCAGCTTCATCTGTAATTTTGTTGTGAGATAATGAAAGCTTGGTGAGACTCTTGAAACTTGAAAGAGATAAAAAGTTTGTTAAATAGCAATTGTTCAAAATTAACGTTTTCAAATTTGGAAAAATTTGATGGTAATTGAACTCGCTAATTGGGTTGAATGATAAGTCAAGGTATTCTAAAGCAGGTAATGGATTCTTAATAAAGACTGTATGTATTCTGTTCTCAGGAGCAATGATTTTTGATAATTTATTAAGCTGTTCAACATTTTCGAGTACTTCTATTCTATTTGAAGAAACATTTAAGGTTTCTAATGATTTTAATTGGTTGATATTCTCGATTTTAGAAATTAAATTGTTTGATAAATCCAATTCTTTAATATTTAGAATGGAGTTGAGGTCATCTTCGTTAATCACTTCGATTTTGTTCCATGATGCGCTGAAAAACTTAAGTTTTTCGTTTTTTGGAATATTAGAAATGGATTCTAAAAGATTGTGATCAATAATAAGTGATTCGACTTGACCTATTTTAACAGTGGATATATCTTTAATGTTTTGCTTAGTTAAGATCAGTGGATCTTTGATTTCAACACTCATTATTTTTTTATTTGGCGCCAAGAAATAAACGATCTCTTCTAGTTGAGATTCAAGAATTGTTTATGTTAGCCGAAAAACATTATAAGTATGAGATGTGAACTCGAAATACCATATGATATGCTTTCTTTATTCAAAGATTAAAAATTCTATTCCAAATAATATCATAAATATAGCTATCTGCCGATATCAATCGTCAGTAAAGCATTCAAATTTGATGAAAATACTTAGCTCTTCATTAAATTTGGCATTATTTTAATCGCATTTCTCCTTATTAAGTATCAAATTGAGTATTTTCTTAAAATTCCTCTAGATTAGCCATAAAATACTTTAATTCATGAAATCATAAATGTTATGGAATCATATGACATTTTTTCTCCATATTTAATACAATTAGAGGTCAAAATATATAAATAATGATTCAATTCTAGATATTTTCATATATGAGTAATCTCATAACTATATTATTGAATGAAATAAGACAAAAACTCATATTTATAACAATTACGAATTCATGAAATGTAAGTCTCGGACGAATGTAAGTCTGACTTGAAATGTAAGTCTGATTCTAAATGTAAGTTCTAGACTAAAGTAAGTCTGATTCTAAATATAAGTCTGATATTAAGATAAGTTTGTAACTAAAATTAAGTCTTATTCCAAAAGCAAATTTAATTGTATAATAAGTCTGGATCTAGAGTAAGCCTTAGTCTACAGCTATTCTGTGTCAAAAATAAGTCACGAACCATAGTAAGTTTCGGACTAGAGTATGTCTGTAATTCGAATCATTCATATTCTTCAATTATCCCGCCAAAAAAATTATCGTCTTTTTATCATACCATAGTTTTTATCAATCTCGTTCTACTAAAAAACCTTTATATTGGTGATTTCTTTGTTAAACCCGTATTTTTTCATGTGAATCTTATTGTATAAACTCTAAAAGTTCAATTTCCGGTCGAAAAAAACTTGAAAACAATTTGTATTCGACGAGTTAAAGAGCTCTATTTATTCTAAATTTTCCAAAAAAAAATTAGATTTCGTTTTTTCGCTTCAAAAAATGTTGTTTTAAGTTTTAAAATTTGTAATTCAAATTTTTTTTGGAAAGATTTACGATTTTTTAATACTGCGAATGAGTTTTATTTTACATACTCTATTGATAAATCATATTTTTGTCGAGATATAACTTTTTTTTTAAAAAAATTATATGCAAAGAGTGTTATAGAATTCTAGAAGTTATAGTGCATAATTTGAAGTATACTATCAAATAAAGAAATTTTACAGTTTTTTAGTTTTATTTAGATGTACGTTATTTTAGATGGCTTCGTCGAAAACAAAGCATGTCTGTTAAGTTTATTCTTAACATGGTAAATAAAATGGCAACGAAGCCCAGTGTACTGCGTCTTATGCCGTAGTTTTTGTTATCTTCATACTCAAATACAACAAATACAAATAGATTTATTACGAAAAAACGTATAAAACAAATGATATATTTATTTCTAGACAAGTTGACGAACATGTAGCGCAACTGTATCGCTTTAGAGAACAGTTCTTCCAACACCTACTCATTCAGTGAAAGATTTAAGAAGAACTCTTACTCGACCTTAACTACCTACGCTTTGCTTGAACAATTCCCAACGAGGTTACTATAAGGTTGCAAGTCTTGTCAAAATGTAGTATGCAATACGTTGGGGAAAAATAGATATATACGAACAAACTACTACAGTCTAGCAACTAGTCTTTAAGTGTAATGTATTTTTGCTACAAAGAGCTCATAACGAAGTCAAATTTTGCAATTTGATGTCAAAACTAGCTAGTTGTTGAATCAAATAGCGTTGTGACTTTGTATACATCACGATCTTGTGGTATCAGAGCTGTACTGCTGCAGACTAATTCAACTAAACATGAGCAAGATTGGGATTTCTATTCTCTGGGGTGCGAGGCTCGTCCAAAGTTCAAGCAGCTACAGTGTTTTGGATCACCTAAAGAACTTTGGGAATTCAGTTATTACGTAAATTTCTCAAGATGAACTTGAGAGCAGCGCAGTTATAACGAAAGTCTCTGATGAAAGGCAATGATTTCTTTCATGAATGATCTAACGTTAGCTTGAAATCAGGAAAAGAGACTATTGATGACTTACTTTCCATCGATGGTGCACAACAGCAGGGAGGGGATTGGTGGGTTTGGGGAAATTCGCTGAGGCACTAGTGTCCGGATTGTTCGTCAAATAGGTTTCCTTTCCTATAAAGAAATGACACTTTTTTGGCGGCTTATTGACTCAGAAAAATTTGAGAGTTAACGAATAATTTTGGCGCCAAAAATAATTTCTCTTAATTTATTAAGGGTATAGTCCACTAAAAATTTTTAAGTTTTGACAATGAAAATAAGCTCTGTGACCATGTAAATATATATCTATGCAAAACGAGAGGTTATGCCATAATTTTTTTTAGTTATCAAATTTTCCTTTTTTTGAGAGAAGTCTCTCAATAATTTGAGAAGAATCTTTGATATAAAGAGATACACATTTGTAGAACGAAGTAAGTGTTTTCCAAACATTTTATATGTTCATCCTGTATAACAATATAAAGCTGCATAGTGCCATCTTGTGCGTTTGCTATTTTATGTACTTTTCATTGAGATAATCCCTCTTCTCGGGTGATTTTAACAGTCAACTCAATTTTAAAATAAAGATTTCATCAAAATGATTTCGAAATTCGGATATTGATTATATAAATAGCACTGTTAACATATTTTGGATGAGTAAAAAATACCTTGTTTTGTATGCATTTAGTACACCTTTATTTTTGATTAAAACTATAAAATTTTTATTCCTTATATAATAAATAGTATATGTTACATAAACATGAAATTCAATAGCATTCAATTTTGGATTTTTTAGATTTGGTAAATTTTAGAAGAAATAAAATCAGCAATCAAAATAAAGAAACTTTTTTTGTATCTTCTATGATTACCTTTTGGTACTAAATTTTGCATTAATAAGTAAATTATCTTTATTCTGTCCTCAGTTATGCTGGTAGTGAATGATGAATCGTCATTTTGCGAAGAGAACGCGATTATTAAGGTAATTTTGAGAATTGTCTTGAATTATTTAAAATTAAAGTTAATTGAATAGGTAGGATAACTAGCCTTTGCTAAATTTGTATAATTTGACCTTATTCTAGTTGGATCTGAGAATATTTTGCTGAAATAATAAATTATATCGCCGATTTATGAAAATTTCTCTGATGGGACCGACTCGCTGAAACGTATTAGTGTTAATGGTAACTTGTCTGAATTTTCAAATTTTTTTCGAAATCCAAAAAATCACAAACAAAAGCATCAAAATTAGATTTGCATTTAAGGTTTTCATTTTTTTTTGGAAAATAAAAATATTTTTCCCCAATAAAGTTTATTTTTACTTTTGAGAGGAATAGAAACGTTATTTTGGAATTTTGAAACGACAGAAATGTTCCATTTTTAATGTAGATTCTAAAATGGGGTCAAATTTTTGATTGAACCGTTATCCATTGAAAAACCTCGATTTTAAAATGTTATTCCAAAATATTCATCTAATGATATAGTATATATTTATTAATTATTACTTTTTATTCAATTTTCACTTTTGGCGGGATTTCATTTTTTTTTGTTGTATGGGCCATATTGTTCACCCAAAACGGAAAACAAAGGCAATGCATAACATTTTACTCCACGAACGTCGTCGACTCTCAGCGCGACAGATGCTTGGTGCTTGCATAATGACCGGAATGCCATATACAAAAGGTGCTCGCTTTCTTTCTCTTTGTGGAACTAAGCCCCCTGTGAAGAGTGGTGTCATGAGACAACAGAGATTTTGTGACGATAAGATTAGAAGACTTAAAAGTATTTCCCTAATGCTGTCGAGAAAGTCCTTCAGTGGTTACTTATCCATTGATGCAAGATGGACGCACAGGCGAAACTCGCCAAGTTGTACAGTAACTGCGCTCGATGCTGTCACAAAAAGAGTTCTTGCATGCGTGAACATCAACCATATTGGTGGAAACAGACAGCATGCTCAGTATTCCGGAGCTTCCAACAATATGGAAAGTGCTGGAACTCGAATCATCTTGAAGCAATTAAAGAAATACAATATCTTGAAAGATGTTAAAGAGATTATTAAAGACCGAGATAACAAAAGTGTCTCTGTCTTTAAAGAATTTGGCGTCTCTCATCTTGAAAGATTCGATCCAGGTCATGTATCAAAAATATCTCAAAAGATTTTACAAAGTTCTCAGCTTCTCATAAGACAGTTGAAGTTTTCAACGACAAGACTCAGAAGATTGAAAAAATAGAGAGACCTTTCTGGGGTCTGAATGCAAGCCTAAGTATGTGGCTTTGGTCATGTTTTGCCGAAGAAAATATTGACAAACGTACGAAAATGTGGGAGAATTGTGTCTACCATTACGTAGGCAATCATTCTTTTTGCGAACCGCACAATTACAAATGCTTTGAATGGCAAAAAGGTGTCAATTCGATCCAACTTCAATTCATGCTCTATGACTGGGTTCACAAATGGACACCCATAGTTTCCAAAGTTTCTTCCATTGGATCTACCTGCATGAATGAAGCGTTTAACTCCAAAATTGCATGCTATTTGGACAAATCAAGAGCCTGGAAGAACATTAACATTAGAGTTAACGTTGCAATCTTAGAATGGAATGATCCAGAGCATTTTCTCGGAGATATACAAAAAGCATTACATCTTTCCCCACTTCCAGAAGATTATGTCAAATCATTTGAAGAGAATTGTTACTCCAAAATGATATTGAAACAAAAAACTGTTACAAAAGGTTCTAAAAAACAGAACAAATACAAAAAATCCATTCAGAGTGTACCAGGAGGAGATTATCAAGTTTTCAAGTCCGAATGGGAATCAGAAGACGAAGACATTGATGACTTTGATTAACGAAAATTACATTTTATTTATTGTTTTTGTTTTTAATTAAATTATTATTATGCTCATTTTCTTATTTTGATTTTTCCTCATTATGATATAAATAATTTATTAATGCATTTATCCAATAATTATGCTATGATATTTTTATGCCTTATTTCATTTCTCTTATATTTGATAATCTGGTAAAATATAGTTCAGACTATAATCATTTTAGATTAAAAAAAAAAAAGGTAGTGGGGCTTCCAGGGGCTGCGCCCCTTCTAGCCCCTAAGAAATTTTGCCCAAGACCCAAGAGGAGGACCGAACCCCAGCCGACCAGCCGTTGACTTTTTTGTAGAGCACTCAAAATAGTATAACTTTGTCCGGACAAGTAAGGGTCTATCGTCGCTACAGGAAAAGTTACAGGCGTTCCAAGGAAGTATACTTTGAGAAGCCTTTTCTCCCTTATAGAATGAGATAGGACGGTTATTTTACAAAACCGACAACACTTTGACCGAGTAGTTTTTTGTGCTGAACAAAAAGTGTCATATAAACATCTGTCAAAAACCGTTTTTTAACTTCACTTAAAATGCCACGTAAGCTACGTAAGAATATACGTAAGAGGAAGGGAGCATTGAAACATCCAATAGTAAAACTGACACCACAACAACAGTTGCAACAACAAATGATGAATGACCCCCACTATGTTGCAACAAATGTCAAGCAACCCTATGCTTTTAAACCGAGTTATTGGTGCACAGAGTGGAGGTTTAAGAGCGGCACTTTTAGCGAAAATGGCAGGCTATGGTGGAGCTGCAGACGGAACAGCTTATAACCCTCAAAGTCAAATGAATTTGAGTTCACTCAAAAATCAAATAACAGATGTCAAAAAGTCAAACATAGACATACAGAAACAAATAAGTGAAAACGAAAAGAAACTAGAATATGACAGACACACAAAGAAACTCAATGAGTTAAACGTAGAGAAAAAGAAGAAAGAAGAACAACTGAAAGAACTAAGTACAGAGGAATATGCGAAAAAAGTGTCAGAAAAAGCAGCAGAAGTAGCAAAATGGAACAAGATGTTATAAATTTGAAAAACCATACTACTCAATATAAAGTACTGAAAGATGAAGAAATAAAACAAAAAGCCCTGAAGACATATATGGATAGCGATGAGTATAAAAAAGAAGTTGAAGCAAATGTAAAGGCAGAAAAACTTTTACAGTTGCAAAACCAAACCGTACAGTATGAAAACTTAGCACAAGAAAGTAAAAATAACGACGCAGCCATGCAAAAGGCAATGAAAAGCGCAGAATATATAAAAGCTAATAATGACTGGTTAGATGCCCAAGCCAACGCTAAAGCAGCCCAACTTATAGGGTCAATAAGGACAAAAATACAAGCGGATGAAGACAGTTCAAATGAAGCTTTAATGAATGCTGACTTTAAGAACGCCTTCGAAGCTCTTCATAGTAAGGTGAAACTAGTGAACGACTTCTCATCTGGAAAGAAACTGAAGTCTGAAGGTTTCGACAACGAGTTAAGAGAAGTAGCACAAAATATGACGAAAATAACAGATGCAGCAACGAGACAGGCAGTTCAAAGTGCCTATGACGCCGTTAGAGCAACTGTTGTGGAAAGTCAAGAAAAAGAGTTACAACAGACCAAAACAGACCTAGTAAATGCTTTCTTAAAAACAAAAAGTCAGGTAGGACATTATGCTGCAGATGGAACATATGTGCCAGCTGGTGGAACTTATATACCAGCTGGTGGAACTTATATACTAGCTAGTGGAACTTATATACCACCAAACCCTCCAAGAGAAGCACCTGCACCAGGACTACCTAAAACATTTACATCGTCACATGGACACAGACACAGGCATGCACCAAAACCAACAGTTCAAAATCCAGCACAGCAACCAACAGTTCAAAATCCAGCACCACAACCAACAGTTCAAAACACTGCACAGCAACCAACAGTTCAAAACCCTGCACAGCAACCAACAGTTCAAAACCCTGCACAACAACAACCACAAACAGAGCAAGGACATAAAAGAAGTAGAGAACAAGGAAACCAAGAATTCTTAAAAATGCTTAAGGAAGACTATGGTTACCCAGATACTCTTGACTTTAGTGACAGATATAAAGAAGCTATTAGAAAGTTCAAGGAAGGAAATACTGACCCGAACCTATTTAGCTTTATGGTTCAGCACCAAATGGGATATAATTTCAAACCTGGAAAATACAAGCTCGCTAAGGGATATGATTTAATAGCATATCATCCAAATGACATGACTGAATTTACTCCGAGATATTTGGTGTCAGAGCTAAATGATAATTCAACTCTCTTCATGAAACGCGTAAAAAATAGAGACGGAACGAAAGAAGAAAGGTTTATGAGTCCGGATGACTTAGATAGGGAACTTGTTAAAAACGGTCTCGGAATATATGAAATGCCAGCAGATGAGGTACAAGAAACTCCACAGGAAGAAGTTCAGATACAACCAGACATGGAAGAAATAGTTCAGCAACAACAGCTAGAAGAGCCTGAAGGAAACAAACAAGTCCCTCCTTTGGAAACTAACTTCACAGAACTAGATGAAGATTTGGAACAGCCGAAAAATCTTGACCCTCAACAAGTGTATGCGGGAATATGGAATCTTTCAAGAGTCTAAGAAAAATTCGGCTGACATAGTAGAAGAATATCGAAAAATGTTCGCCGACATACAAAAGACTCCAACATCAGATGAAAATATTCAGCATAGAATGGAAGAACTGAAAGAAAGTGTACGCAAATACAACAATCCTTTTTACTTACGACCATATAACGTTCAATCTTCGGATGAACTCGGTGAAAATAAAAGGTTAAATTTCACCAAAACATATAGAAATGAAACATTGTTTAAAGTTCATTCAGAACCTAACCAATATGGAAACAAACCTACTTTTGTTTCTGCAGACTATGGAACTACAATGAGATGGGGTCATAAAGCTAATCCGGATAGGTGGTTCATAAACTTACAACCACAATTCCAAGAAGTTGTAGACGCAATGGAAGTGAATGGTGAACCAGATATAGCTGGTATTTTCAGCGCGGCTTTAATGCCATTGAAAGATATGAAACATGCAGATATTTTGGACCAGTATGAAATGAACATGGCTGATGGAAATATAACACCTGACGTTCTAGAACATTTATCTCAAAGAACTACACAGAACCATAGAGATGGTATATTTGGTGAAGAGTTTAGAAAGAAAGTTAGGGAGAGAGAAGGAAGAGAACCTATTGTACATGACCTTGCAAACGAAAGTTTACAAAATGTCATAAAAACTTACTTTGCAGACAATGAACCGAGAAGGGATGAATATTTAAGAAAACTCAAATGGACAGTACCAAATGAAATGTTAGTATTGAAAAACATGTTCCTTGACAAAATAAAACCAACTACAGAAATAAATGACGCAAGACTGAAACATTGGGTAAAAGCTTTCCCATTCACAAAAGATATTATTGGTAACATGGAAAGAAAACCAGAATGGCTACAAAAACATATATTTGGAAACGAGCTTATTCCATATGGACAAGCTCTGTTTGAAGAGCTTGAACCGGAAACTCAGGAAAGAGTCATGCAAACAATACGCGAAGACTCAAATACAAACTATGACAAAAATCTTTCTAGGATATAGGTTACCTGAGATGGGCGACCAGAGCCCAAAGGCAAAAAGGACATGGGAAATTTACAACATACTAGGTAACATGAGGCAAAGATGCAACAACTTGAAGCAGAGGGCAAGTTACCAAAAGCGACACCAAAGAAGAAGAGTAGAACAAAGTGAAAGTAGTGAAGAAGTAACTTCATCTAGTGAAAGTAGTGGCAATGAAGGAAAAAGAAGAGTTAAAAACTCAGTCAGGAAGAAAGTAAAGCTTGGTACGAGTGGGTTCTATTATGACACATAAATCCAACTATTCTATATTTTTACCCATATGAAATGTACGCCGCTCAGAATATAACGCCAACAGTTTTGGATGCCATGAACGGAAATGTTTCCGAATGGTATAACGAATGCGACAATGCCATTAGAAGGTCAGAAATAGTTCCTGGAACTTACGAATATACAACTGCTGTTTCTTATGGAAACGTAGGTGAGTTTGGAGAAGGTTCTTCAACAACAGTAGATATTGCTTGCGACAGGTTTCATATTATTTCTATTGACAACTCATTCTTATACGTGGAACAAGACATTGAAATAAAACCTTCTGCCAAGTTGTCTGACAAGAAAGGTTGCAATGGAATTTTCTATGTCGGATACCAATATGCTCCAGAAGTTTTCATGGATATAAGATATATTCTAACTCTGACTTAGTTCAAACAGTAACATGGGCAAACTATGAATGGTTCGCTTTGAGAAA